GTTTAGGACTTTCTTGTTAAATCGTCAGTTAGGACATTACTGTAAAAAAAAAATACTTTAGGTCTTTCTTGTCAAATTGTTGAAAGTATTAGGACTTTAGTGTATATATTATTTTTTTTTGTTAGAAATTTAATGGTATTATACTCTTTAAGCATAAGAGTTATTAAAACATTCTCTAGTCAGCTAGATCCTATTAAAAATTTTAATGTTTGCTTTTTGTTAAATTGGTTTTTTAATTTCAACAAACCGACATTGAAAAAAATAGAGATAATTAAGAAAGAAAGAAAGAACCAGGATTGTGTTGGCTTTTTGCAGTCCTAAAATGGAGAAATAAGAAACCGAAAAAAACGAAATTGTCATTCGTTCCCTTCTCCAGATTCCCACCATTTTGATTAAGTATGTGTTGTTTGTGTTTGTATAATCTGTCCCCACTTTTTAGTTCAAGATTTGGCGGTGAAGTAAGAAGAAAATTTACAAGTCTTTTCACCCTTGTAAAAGTTACTTCTTGCTTCGCCACCAAATCTTGAACTAAAAAGTGGGAACAAATTATACAAACACACACAACACATGCCTGGTTAAAAATGTTGTGAATGTTGAGAAGGGAAAGAAGGGTAATTTCGGGTTTTTTTTTTTTTTTTTTCTATTTTTGGGATTGCAAAAAGCCAACACAACCCTGGTTCTTTCTTTCTTTGTTGATTATCTCTATTTTTTTTTTTTCAATGTCGGATTGTTGAGATTAAAAAAACTATTTAACAAGAAGCAAACATTAAGGATTTCAATAGGATCTAGTTGACTAGAAAGTGTTTCAATAACTCTTACGCTTAAAGAGTATCATATCATTAAATTTCTAACAAAAAATGATATATACACTAAAGTCCCAATATTTTCAACGATTTGACAACCAAATCCTAAACTTTATTTTTTTGACAGTAAAGTCCGAATTGACGATTTGGCAAGAAAGTCCTAAACTTTATTTGTTTTGACAAAAAAATTTTAATTATCGGCTAACCGGAAAAAAAGGTAAAAGTGTCAAAAATTATCGGTGATTTGGACTTTACTGTAAAAAAAATAAAATTTAGGATTATCTTGTCAAATCGATGAAAATATTCGAACTTTAACGTATATATCCCCTTAAAAAACAAGAAATCATTATTAATGAATTGATGACAAGAAATGGAATTTGGGTAATAATTCTTATGAAATACTTTTTATAACAATAAAAATGTTAAAAATAGACTATAATTCCTGTATACACGAGGCATCAAACAAGCAATCAACTTATTTTGTATCACTTCCACCTTTTATCCCTTGCAAACGGAATTAAACACAAAAATAGATTAAGAATATTAATTTTAAACAATCTAAACTTAACAATAAGAGAGCTAATGTTGTACTCAATAAGTCTTTGGATATTTGTGATTAAGGACAACTTTTTAAAACTTGTCTAATAGTTTTTTTAGTATAAATCTAAGTACTTATTTATTCATAATTTCGGTCATATTTATTTTGAAATTTTGCTTTTAAAAATGATTAATGTTTATGAGATTATTTTATTGGACAAACAAAATTATGTTTATATTTTTTAAATCGATGTTATTCTACTTTATCAACTGTCATTTTCACATGTTTAAACCTAGTATATAATTAACTAAATATAGGAAATTTGTTTCGGGACCTATAAACCCCATAAAACCCATTAAAAACTTTAGGGACTGAACGGATAAATCCTAGAAGTCCATAGGACATTTGTGTCATTTTCACTTAATTTTAAATAAAACTATCTAAAAAATTTGGACATATGATATTGATAACAATGTAATTTCAAGTAGGGGTGAAATTGGTAGGTACTAATTCATATTTTCACTAAACCGTATACCGTACCAATTATAATTGGTATAAATTCTTTTTACCACTATCATACTAAATATAGTTGGTACCAATTTATTTGATTAACAATAAATTCGATTGGTATATGTTGGTATTGGTATATAGCAACAGTATAAAGATTTTATTAATGATGATTTTCAAGTTCTTAAGTATTGTGAAACTTGAATGGGGTTTTTGTAAATAACAGTTTTTTTTGTAAATAACAGTTTTATAATGGCTGAGATTGAAAATTCAATCCAAAATGATTTTATTAATTTCTATCATGAGTTTATAATTAAAGCGATGGAGGAAAACTAAACATGTCAATATAAGCTTATAGGATTAAACTTTACTAATATTGTAAATGCTAACAAAGCTTTGTAAATCATAAGCACTAAACATATTAAATTATATATATATATATATATATATATATATATATATATATATATATATATATATATATATATATATATATATATATATATATATATATATATATAGCTAGGTTTAAATGTTTCTATCAACTATTGTGTTCGTAAATGCACCAATCACAATTTATAAAATAATTAATTAATTAATTAATTAAAAAAGGGTATTATAGTAATCTTTGTATAATTAATTATGGTAGATAAATAATATTCCTAATATCACGCAAGGGAGAATGATAAATTTAGAACATTAGCCCTAAATCTGATCCGTCGCTTCTGCTTCTTCTTCTACAGTCGATGGATCCAAAAGGGAGGACATACTCTCGTCTCGCAATCGATGATGGACTCTGGAGTTCGATGAGGCTGAAGAAGGGGATGCGGAGGAGTAGTGGCGCTGTTGTGGGGTCCGTGAACGCGAGTGAGAAGCGAGGAGCGAACGGGGAGGGAATCCGGTGGTGTTTGTGATGGTCGGTGTTTGGCGATATTTTTTGATATGGAAGAAGCAGTGGAGGGCATCACTCCCGACGATTGCAGGTACGTGGACGGAGGTATTCTCCGACAGCCTCCTGTTCTTCCTCTGGTTCGGTAATCCAACAACTAGGGGGAGAGAATGGCAACAAAAGACTAAAATTGGGAAGTGTTTGTTTTTCTTTGTTTGTCAGGAAAAGAAAAACACAAAAATGGGGTTGTTGGCCATTGACACAGAAGGGAGAAAGGAAATAGCAAAACAACAAGTTTGAGGGGGACAAGGGTCTCGATTCTTGACTAATTGAAGGAAGAGGAAGTTAACGAAAGCATCCATGGCCAACATGTGATCTTCTTCTTTATCTTATTTTGATTTGAATCCATGGAAATTTGGATGTTTAGGTTTTCCTGAAAAAAATTTATGATAATGGATGAGATATAACTCATGGTTGTTTGGGTTTCGATATTTGACAGGGGAATCTATGTGTGTTTGTTTCTTGAATTCATGACTAGGAATGAATGCAGATGTGTGCTGATGATTCAATCCCAGGTCTTGAATTTTGTAATGTATTCTGTTAGAATTTATTTATATAAATGTATTCTGGTAGAATGTATGAGAATAACTGTTAACAACAAATATATTTGTTTAACTGGTAATGAATTTATGATACTCTATGGTTGACTTTATAGTCTCTACTACATTCTGTCAGAATTTATAGTTTTTATTTTCTACTATATTCTATCAAAATTTATAATCTTCAATACATTCTGTCAAAATTTATAGTTTTTATTTTCTTAGAATGCATTGAATTTTTTAATTTTTGAAACTTGATTATGTTTTCTTTGTGGATTTAGGTTTTGAAGATGCTAACATTGATGTGGAGAAGGAAGAAAACATAGAGAATGAGAATGTATTATAGCAGAATGTGTTATGCTACAATGTATAAAGTGTTGCTTAAAAATAATATTTATTCAGAATAGATTAGTGCTTTTATTAGATCTTGATGAGTTTTTTATTTTTTTTTAATTTTTTTTAATTTTTTAATTTTTTCTTTCAGAATGTTGTTATTATTCAATGAATCACAATCATACAATGTAATTATTTGGTATATTATGAGTTCAACAATTGATTTTGTGTATTCTTTCAGAATGTGTTTACTAGTTTATGGTTGATATTCTGTCATTCCGACATAATAAAATCAAAAAATATATTTACTAGTTTATGGTTGACATTTTATCATTCTGACAGAATAAAATCGGATTTTTAAATTTAAATTAATTTAAAATATTCAAATTTCTAAAAATAATGGAATTAATTATCCCTAAAAATCCGAAAATTTCCTTTTTTAATATAGTTTAATTGACTAAAATGCCCTTATACTGAAATTTGTGTGATTCTATGGTGCATGTTATTTTACTCTAATATCATAGACCCTCAGATCATGATCTTTGAGTATATTTCATCTGATGATCCAGATCTGTATATTCTGACACACACACACACTATATATATATATATATATATATATATATATATATATATATATATATATATATATATATATATATAGAATTGGTTGTTATGGTCTTACCGTTGTATTGAAAACTTTATACGACTACCATACAATGATTTCGTAATATTTATGATCCTATCAACCAAACATCTTGGTTACCTAACATATTGGTTATCAATATTTTTGGTTCGGTTGGTAACACATTGGTTTTCTGTGGTACATATTTGTCGATCTTAATTTCAACGTGTTACTTACATATAGGTTTATTAACTAATTTAACTTTCAAACGCTACCTAAATCAATTACTTTCTGTCCCATATTTATTGTCCACTATTTTTCACTTTAACCTCAAATATTTTTATTTATGTTATATATTACTTGATGAAACTTATACTAATGAAAAGACATTTAAAACACAATCCATTAATATATTTTGAATCAAATATTATATAATAAAAACAAAAATATAAAATACTAGAGAATTCAAAAGTAAAAAATAGACATGGGACCGAAATAGAGTTATACTAAAATAAAATACAGAAAATGATACACTAAAATAAAATACAGAAAATGATGAATTTGTCCAAAATAAACATATTGTATTTTTATTCAGAAAATGGTGAGTTTGAGCGAGGGTCCGAAGTTCCCTCATTTATGAGAGTACAGTCGCCATCGCTGAGCTGCTTCTTTCTGCAGCCGCCCAATCTCACCCCCTCCACCGGCAATGACATCTTTGCAGTTGCTAACAGAACCCTCATCTCTATGCTCTTCCAACTTCATCCCTTTCAATCCCCTATACAAAACCCTAATTAAGCCAACAACAAAACCCTACCCAAAACCATCACCCATTCGATCCGTCCTTCAATACAACCGCAAGCCGGAGCTCGCCGGCGATACGCCAAGAGTCGTCGTCATCACATCTGGCAAAGGTGGAGTCGGGAAAACCACGACCACCGCCAATGTTGGTCTTTCCCTCGCCCGATTGGGCTTCTCCGTCGTCGCAATCGACGCCGACGTCGGCCTCCGCAACCTTGACCTCCTTCTCGGCCTTGAAAACCGCGTCAATTACACCGTTGTAGAAGTTCTCAATGGCGATTGTCGCCTCGACCAAGCTTTAGTTCGCGATAAGCGCTGGTCAAACTTCGAATTACTTTGTATCTCAAAACCTAGGTCAAAATTGCCACTAGGGTTTGGTGGAAAAGCCCTAGTTTGGCTTGTTGACGCATTAAAAGACCGGCAAGAAGGTTGCCCGGACTTTATACTCATAGATTGCCCCGCAGGTATCGATGCTGGATTCATAACGGCGATTACTCCTGCTAACGAAGCTGTCCTGGTTACAACGCCGGACATTACCGCACTAAGAGATGCCGACAGAGTCACTGGTCTTCTGGAATGCGACGGAATTAGGGATATCAAGATGATTGTGAACAGGGTTCGGACTGATTTAATAAGGGGAGAAGATATGATGTCAGTTCTTGATGTTCAAGAGATGTTGGGATTATCATTGCTCGGAGTGATTCCAGAGGATTCAGAAGTAATTCGGAGTACAAACAGAGGGTTTCCACTCGTTCTAAATAAGCCTCCAACTTTAGCAGGATTGGCATTTGAACAAGCGGCTTGGAGGTTAGTTGAGCAAGATAGCATGAAGGCTGTAATGGTGGAAGAGGAACCCAAAAAGAGGGGATTTTTCTCCTTTTTTGGAGGATAGAAATTGAACTCATGTGAGAGAGGTTTGAAGCTTTTGAATTCTTTAAATTTGTGGAGAAAAATCTTGTCTTTTTTGTTTATGCAGACACTGGTATTTGTCAATTGAAATGTGTTATGTACAGTAAGTTGATAAGGTTTGTCTGTCTACAATTCCTAAAGTTCCATGATTGATTGAGGTTTGAGATACTTTAATGTTTGTTTTCTAGAGAAAAAAATTAGAATTCCAGGTTCTATCTATTTGATCAATTTGTATTTCTATGGATTTTTGTTACTGTTTTTGATCAGAAAGCCTGTGTTCATATCAGGTCATAAGAAGTTAGAATCTGATATCATTGCAAACTGAGTCATTTGGAGTCATTGATCGTGATCTAGAGATGGCTTTGGTTGTATTATCGTGACAAAGTTTAGCAGTTAAAATGGTTGAAATTGTTATAATTTGGTACATGTTTAAAAATTTAATGCTCTAATATCAGAATAAAAGTAAAGTTTTACACTATACAAATTAATGAAAGGATATTGTTTCTACTCTTATCTTTTATAAGCTGTCTATTTGTTTATGTATGTATACATTGTTTCTTAATATTGGGCTCAGTTCGGTTCGGTTGTGCTGGGCTATTGTTGCTTTAATATTTTGGTTAATTTATAATTACTTTAATATTTTGGTTAATTTATATCTAGTTATGCGCATTACCTAATTAAATTCTTAGTTCTACTCGTAATATTGATGTGTATGTGAATAAATCTAGACTATTGGATTAGAAAATTGGATGGCTATGATCTTGAGTGGCAAATTAAATGTGAATTCTAAATTTTAATAAAATCGATCCACTAATTAGGGTGTAAGAGTTAAATTCCATACATTTTGCAAAGGGTTTCTAGTCAAACGGTAGGCGGTATTGTCATTTTTTTAGGTTGAGGGTTCAAGTATTGCTATTGTTTCTTAGAGGTTGAGGGTCAAGTCTTGTTATTGTTTCTTTGAAGTTGGGGGTTCAAGTTTTGTTGTGGAAGTACGTGAATTTAAGGAGTAGTTTAAGAGTGAGTTAGGTTTGTTGTCTCAAAAAATAAAAAATTGATATAATTATGTAAAGCATGGTTATATATAGATATGTATAAATGATATAATTAAATAAATAAGAAATTGTTATTTTGGACCATACGGTTCTCAATTATATAGTCAAAATCGAACCATAATTCAAGATAATAATTCTATTTCAGTTTAAACCATTCCAAAAATCGAAATTCAAAACATATAGTCAAATCAAAATTATCTAATTAAATAATTAAGTTTTATCCAAATAATAAATAAGATTTAGAACAGTCCTTATCGGTTTGATTGTTGGATTTTCCAAAAGATTGTATATCAAAAGGATCTTGTCTCGCAACTATTTTGTGTGACTACTCTTTTTTCTAGCTAGTAAAACATATTACCTTTTATTTCATAATAGATATAGGTAATGCAAGAGACTAGTTATAAATTCAACTAAACTATTAAAGGGACTAATTAAAATTTATATAAATTTAATATTGTAGTAAATTATGAATATTGGTTTGACATGCGGAATTAAAGAGCACACAATGAACATAGTGATTTGGGTGCTAAAAGGTGTATTCAATCATGGTAAATGAGTACAAAAAAGGAACTAGTCTAGAACTCTATAAGTATCTTACTCACTAATCACTATGAACTACATCTCTTAAGCACATCTCTACAAGTGGTATGAACCCACCTTATATAGCGGTGTTTACATGTCTCTCTCGCATTCTCTATCTCATGTCATAAGGCTAATGCAATACATGCAAGTGAGTTTACAAACACATTGACAAAGTCATACATGGATAACTTTGCATCCAACATTCTCCCCCTAAAGTTAGGAATGGATGATCCACTTCAAATCTTCCAAAATCGAGCATCTATGCGATTCGAGCCTCAAGCATGACACATGTTGAGATGAACTTCAAATTTTCAATTCTTCCATGATTCTTCAATTTGGGTTATAGGATGTGAGACCATACAAACTGAGCATCAACGAATGATCATGAGCTTTTCAAACTCCAAATAATCACCCTAAAGTTGAGCATAAAAACACACCCCGATTAGCTTTATTCACGAACCACCTTTGACAAAATTTCTCAAAAATGGGTAGAAATTGTCAATTTTAAAATTCTGCAGTAACTCGGTGTGCCCAAAACAATCAAAAATGTGAAACTCTCCCCGTTTTTCGAAGCTGGGTAGAAAGCATCAATTCGCATAAACTGCAGGGGCCTGAAATGCATATTTTTCAATTCCTCAGTCCAATTTCGAAATTAAGTATGACCAGCTAAAATTTCAAAACTTCAGGGACTGCTTTCGAAATTTCTGCCCCTTTTCCTTCAAACCTTCGAAAATCACCTCGGGCAAAAACTACCAAACTTTCGAAAGTATAAGGGCAACTTTCGAAACTGCTGCTACTTGTTTTAAATTTTCAAAAATAACCCCAAATTTCTAAAAGCTGTTAAAATTTTGAAAAGCAGGGACCAATTTCGAAACAACTTCCTTTTGTCCCAAAATGTCAAAAATTAACTCCAATTTCGAAAGTGGGTCAAGACTGACAAACATTCGAAACTTCAAGGGCAATTTTCAAAACATTTTATATTTCTTCTCCAAATGGATTTTTAGATATGAACACTCTGCACTTCGCGATGAACAATTCGATATAATAGCTTTAAATCAACTTTTCGATATCACACCTTTAGACTTCCTATTTGCTATCAAGCATTCTCCGTTATCACTTTCCAATTTTGCCTCAAATTTTCTCAATCAACCTAACAATAGTCGAAATCGTTTATTTATTTATTTATTTTTCAGATTCGAAAATGAAATCATTTCAACATCTTCCGAAACACGATCAATTCCATTAGCAATAACCACCATCAAATTGATTCTTTCCAATTGAAAATCAATAACGAATCTCCATTCAACTATCAAAGCTATTTCTTCCTTCCACATCAATTATCGAACCACTAGTGAACTTCCAACAACCATCAATTAGCCATTGGTCTAGTTCGTAGTAAATTCGATATTGACTTTCTGATTTGACTATTCATCGAACTCACTGACTTCGAATATAGATGTAAACGATGCAATCCCAAAATTAAGTTCCACTTGCGAAGCTAGTTCCAAATGCGAGACTCCTTTATGAGACTACCAAGCTAATTGCAAACTGTGAAACCATCAATTTTGACCGAACTGAAATCTTGATACATATAATTATTCCGATTTTGACTTTACGTTCATCTGACCTCGATAAACTGTGATCGATGAACATTAAATCGATTTCCTCCCAATCCATTTTCAAAAAAAAAAAAAAAAAAAAAAAAACGATTCGACAAACTTATCATGTTCTTGATTGTTCTTTCAGTGTTCATTAGTAAAAATCATCTTGTTCATCGATTGTTCTTCACAACAAATTCAAATCGAATCCAATAGACCGATGCTGGATCGATTTGTAATAGTATTCATTAATGACATTGTGGTTTACTCCAAGAATTAAGAGCAGCATGAAGAGCACTTGAGGAAGGTGCTAGAGACATTGAAGAGGAGAGACTTTTGATAAAGTTATCTAAGTGTGAGTTCTAGTTGCACGAGGTGCAGTATCTGGGGAACCTTGTCAACAAGAAGGTTATTCTGGTCGATCTAGAAAAGATACAATTCGTGATGTAGTGTAAGATTTCAAGGTCTCCAACTAAGATTCAAAGTTTCCTGGGTCTAGCGGGTTAGTACCGAAGCTTTATTCAGGATTTCTCCAAGATCGTTTTTACCTTGACCTGACTGACCAAGAAGTCGTTGGCCATCCGCTAGGGGCCTGAGCAGCAGGCAGCCTTCGAGACTCTCAGACAACAGTTATGTGAGGCACCAATCCTGATTTTGTCGGAGGGAGTCGATGACTTCGTGGTGTACTGTGACGCTTCAATCACATGAATGCGAGTGGTATTGATGCAGTGTGGTCACGTGATAACTTATGCTTCGAGGCAGTTGAAGCCTCACGAAGCTAGCTATCCGACGCATGATTTAGAACTGGGGGCTGTGGTTTTCGCCCTCAATATTTGGCAGCATTACCTCTATGGGGTTCGTTATACTGTTTACACAGACCCCAAGAGTTTGAGGTACCTCATGGACCAGTCGAACGTGAACATGAGGCAGCGTTGATGGTTAGATGTGGTGAAGGATTACTGATGTGTGTAAAACCAACTAGTTTTAATCCTACTAACTTAGACACAAAATAAACACACGAAAGGCAGTGTACCTATTGATTAGTAATATAGTTCAAGCAAGTAGGGTATCGAACACAGGGAACGGTAAACAATTAAAATAAATGCTAATATTATCTAAATAAAACAAATAACAAAAAGGGGGTTTTCTCTAGTTTTACAAGACCAGAAACTTAATTAGAATAACCAACACACAAATTAACTAACTAGCAACTAAAACAATTAATTACCAACTGAATTCAATAGTAAAGAGGACTTCTGTTTAGGTACGACTCATTTGTTCCCATGGATGATTTTAATGTATCGGATTAATTCTTCATTGGCTACCGATTAAGATAATTAGGTTCATGTTCGCTATTCCTAATTCTTAGAAAACAAATTAACTCAAGCAATGACCAGTTGTCTAAATTAACGGGTTTCCTAGATTATTGATTCGGGTTAAGTAAGACTTGTAGTGGTTAACTAAATTGGCCCTTCAATTAACCTCTTGTCGATGTTCATCCAACAAGCTTACACATTAACTTACCTATCTTCTAGTTAATTCTAGTTTCACGTTCGTTATTCCTATACATACAACTATGTGGTCACAATAAATCATATGAAATTAATAACTAAGAGATGTTCATACAACTTAATTACTGATTTATTAATAGAAGAATAGTTATTTTCAACACATAAGGTTCTTTAACAAATTTAACAAAACATAATTACCAATCAAAATTAATCCTACTCAAATAATCAATCCATGTTCAC